CTTTGTTGTTCTTTGGACTTTGTTCCTTTGATCAGGCATGGTCAGGCGTGTGGAGTGGCCTTGGGGCTTTTTTTTTGCCTATTGAACTCCCAAACTCGAAAGCCACTTCCTTTATGAAGGTGCTCGCCCTTTGCTTTGTACTTGTCCTGTGCCATTAAGGACTCTCGGTGGTGGAGCAGCACCCTCTGGTACTGTACAGGCCCTTGTTTGTGCATGCAGCGGGCCCCCAGAACGTCCTGGCCTTCCCCTTATGCGTGCCAGACATTGACGTGTAGCAGCTGCTCTCCAAATGTGTGCCCTAGACTATTTCAGGGGGTCAAAACTATTTTCGTGATCATACGAAGGCATTTTAATTTCTAATGCAGTAAATGTTTGGTAGGTATAACCTACCCAGAAGCTCTTTGGGGAGAAGGGCCCTCAGTCATTGTCCTGATACTAGAAGATCTGAGGCCTGCTTTATTGATGTTATTTGTTGATGCGTCTTATTGGAAACACGGTATTGTAGATTAGAATTGGAAATGAGATTCGAGTTCATTGAGTATAATTCCCTCATTTTACAGATGAGGAAACTGAGGCTTTGAGAGGCTAAGTGACTTGCCCAGTCACCCAGCTATTAAGTAGCTGAAGCAGGATCAGAATTCAGGTCTTCTTGGCTGAAAGTACAGAGCCCAGTGCCCTGCACATTTGAACTCATTAAAGGATGCAGTCCTTTTAGCTCTCATGCCCAGCTTAACACTTTGAACCAAGGATAGTAGACTGAGGGCCTGGCCTGGTGCAGAGGAGGAGCCAGGGCTCTGGCCAGCGTCCCAGGGATAGTCACTGTCAGAGGCCGAGGCTCTGCCTAGTGAGCCCTCACGCTTTCTGCTGGGCCGTGCTCCGGAGCCACTTGGAAGCTTTATTATGTATTGTGAACTCGACAGAGTCGTGATCACGGAGGGTCTTTCTGATTTCATTTTTCACCCTGAACTTCAGTGCCTGAACAGGGGATTTCCAGGCACAGAGCAGCTCACCAAGAGTCTTGGGCTTCCCTCTCAGGGGCTGGCCTTTTTCAAAGCATTTCGAGCCCACGTGTTGTTTTCAGGACTGTCCTGGTCATTTGTGCTCCCTTCTGAACTTCCTTCTGTTGCTTCTCAGGAGAAAAGAGAAACATGTCAGTGGCTCCTTCTCTTTCTTTGTCTCTGTCTGACAGTCTCTCTCCTCTTTTGGCATCTCCCTCCCCCATCCCCAGTTAAAAGCCTGAGAAAAGGAAAAAGAAGACTGAGCCAGCGGAGTCCACCCAGCTGCCATGTTGCCGTGTGTCTTTCTGGCCGCCTCAGGGCCCTCCCCCGTGGGCCCAGGGCTTCGGCCTTGCTGTCTCTGTTGCCGCTGCTCCTCTTGGCTCCTGTCCTCCTGCCTCAGTTAATGCTGCCCTGAGTTGGCCCCTCTCCTTTTTGTCATCATTTTGATGATGTGACGCCAGCCCCGTTACATTCCCTGTCCGCCGTCGTCTTCTCTGTAGATGGGCAGTCTTAGAATCTGGTTTGGTTTTCTCTTTTTCCTCATAATCCACCCTTCAGGGCAGGAAGCTTGTTTTCTTTGCGACTCTTCCCTGGCACTATCCTCTGGAGTGCCTTCCCTCCCCTGCTTCCTACTTGTTTCCCTGGTGAAACTGATATATTTCTGCACCAGATGCAAGTGAGTTTGTGTGTGTGTGTGTGTGTGTGTGTGTGTGTGTGTGTGTGTGTATCTATCTCTAGACCTCCTTTGTCTGTTTAGCCTGCTCTTCACTCCTGGCCTAGCTCAAGTCATTTTTTTTAAAATGAGGCAGTCTTGTTTAAATGACTTGCCCAGGGTCACACAGCTAGTAGATGTCAAGTATCTGAGGCTGGATTTGAACTCAGGTCCTCCTGACTACAGAGCCAGTGCTCTATCCACTGCGCTACATAGCTGCACCTCTGAGCTCATCTCTTTTGAGCCGCTCGAACCCCAAGGCTAGACATGACCTTGTTCCTCACATTTCTCATTCAGTTCTCAGATGGCTGCCATTCCCAACAAACTTGTGTACAAGTAGTAATGCTAGGGACTGAGGGGCAGCTGTAATGTTCAGCTTCATGGAGGCTGGACCTGTGTGATAAAAGTTGTATGAGGAGTCTGAGGGTGACAAAGGTCATGACTAACTTTGGAGGTGGGGAGAAAGTGGTGAATCTGGAAGTGGTACCTAGAGGTGACCTTGAATTTGGGTTTTACTGGAAGAGCAGCCATCCATCCATGTGGGATGGGCACAGGAAACGGTGAGCAGTGGTTTGGAGGACATATACTACATTGGGTGTGTGTTAGGAGTGCCTTGATTGTAGAGGCAGCTAGCTGGGGCGGTGGCTGGAGTGCTGGCTCTGGAGGCAGGAAGACCTGAGTTCAATGTGACCTCCAGACACTTGCTAGCTGTGTGGCCCGAGCAAGTCTGCCTCACTTTCCTCAACTGTAAAATGGGGATCCGTTTACATTTCAGTGCCTGGAGCAGAGTAGGCACTTAATAAATGCTTCCTGTTCCTTCATGAAGGAGAATAATGTAGCCACAAGGCTGGCCCCAGATGGTGGAGTGTCTTGATTGGTGTAGAGAGGATTTGCTGTTTCATTTAGTGGGAAAATAAGGACCTATTGAAAGATGATAGTAGAGGAGTGACCAAGTCAGCCAGAATGTGTTCATCTGGTTCAGCTGCCTTCTTTGATGGTAGAGACTGAGGCTCAAAGGACATCTATTGGGCTGCTTCTGGCTCCCTAGGAGGTGAATAGTCTGGGCTGGCCAGAACTGGGGGTAGCTGAGAGGCAGAATTGCCAAGCTTGGTAACTGGATGTCAAGCTGCCGGCAGGCAGAGAGAACTCTGAGGTTTTCAGCAGGTGACAGACACTGGCTGCTGGCCCAGTCCAAAAGCAGGAGCGAGATTTGGGGGGGACGTGATCATGAGTTCGGGGTTTAGGAAAGGGCTCCATGCTGGAGAGAAAGATTGAGGGGTGCATCTTGTGTTCTGTGTCTCCTGCTCGTCCCACCAACACACACTTCCATCTCTACCACACGGCCTTGCCCTTGGAATAATTTATTAATCAGACTTTTTAACACTTCTTAGAACTTTGCATTTTTCTCTTGTTATTTCTAAGCATTTCTTTGTCACTGCTAGCAGAGAAACAAGCCTAAGAAAACCTGCCTAAGGACTGTTGCTTTTTCTCAGAGACAGCAAGGCAAGGGAGCATAGTATACAGAACTGCATGAGACTTTAGGGAGTCATTTTACAGATGGGGAAGGAAACTCAGTGACATTAATAGCGAACTAAATAAATCCCCATCTATTGCCAAATCTCCTTCATCACTAGGCTCATATTAGGCCAGGGAAGCAGTGCCTCTAGCTTTCCAGTTCTTTTCAAAATCAAGAGAGCAAGTGTTTGAGGGAAAGTGTGAGGCACACAAATTGTCTCCAGAAGATGTGATGGCCCCTCCCCAGAGGGAAAGACAGTTTACCCAATGGTATTCAATCAGTGGAAGAGCCAAGACTTGGAGGATCTCTGAGTTGGAAGGGTCCATCCCCATGACAACATCATTGTTACCCAGCCTGCCTCTCAAGAGACAGCCTTGAGCACTGGACCTGGAGTCAGGCCTAAGTTCTTGTCCATCCCCAGACACCACTAGTTAGGTGTCCCTGGGGGAGGCACTTCATTAACATCTGTGCCTCAGTTTCCTCATCTGTAAAACCTACGGCAATCAAGTGGGCTATATTTGTAAAGGACTTTGTAAAGCTTAAAGCACTAAATAAATGCTTCCTATAATTATGATTTTTCATTGTGGTCATTCTTAATATGATGATGTTGAGGGTTTAAGCACCAGCCCGCCTTGGGATAGTGCTAATTGTTAGAAGGTGTTGCCTGACCTCAAGCCTAAATTTGCCTCTTGACAACATTCCTCCCATATTCCTGAGTCCATCCTCTGGGATCGAGTGGAACAGAAGACCCACAGGCCAGCCCTTCATATACTCAGAGATGGTCTCTTAACTTGGAATTGGGCTCCTTCTTCCTACTGTGCTGTGCAAGTAGGAGGAGACCTTCCCAGATGGGCAGGTTGTGATGGTGGACGTCTTAAAGGAAGCAGCTGACATCTCACCCATGGAGCTAAAGGAGTAAAAAAGGGGGCCAAGGGGGCCCAGGCCATATGTTGAGAGGGGAAGGTTAACAGCACCACGTATATCCCCATCAGGGACCTTGTTCTGTCTCTGAAGTTTTTGCCCAGATGATGTTAGAACCTGTACTCGGAGTCACGCTTTACTCAGGGAAGCCAGAGTCTATGGGCAGTAAGATGGTGTGCTTGAAAAGGGCCGGCCTTCAGGTCCTGGCTCCAGCGCTCGGGGGCTGTGTAACAGCCATGGGTCATTCCTGCTTTTGGTGCCTTGCTTTTCCTTTTAGGTTCTGACCACCAAAGATCACATTGATTTTCATCAATGAAACAGGACACAGTTGTGGGTGCCTAGTACTGGGAATAGGATGCCAGCACCAAATGTGACAGAGGTGGGCTGCCCCTTGGGTAGTCATCCCAAGTCAGTCTGCAAACCTTGAGCAGTATCTGAAGGGCCTATTCCAGCCCCTGCCCTCCTTGAGCTTCCTGACGAGCTTCTGGAGAGAATTTATGTGCCTCACACTTTCACTCAAACACTTGCTCTCTTGCTTTTGAAAAGAATTGGAAAGCTAGAGGCACTGCTTCCTTGACCTAATATCACTTCGATTTGAGCCTAGTGATGAAGGAGATTTGCCATTAGATTCATTTAGTTTGCTATTAATGTTACTGAGTTTACTTATACGAAATAGCTGAATCTTTGCCTTTGAACTATTTAATGCTTGACTTTTAAATTGCATTTATCAAAGCCTTCCAAATTGACAAGTTAAAATCCCACTGATTTACATTATCCACATATCAGATCTGTTCAGATGTAGCTGATTTTGTGACTAGCCATTCCTTCATTCTCTCTCTGTCTCTCTTCATAGGACAACCCTCCATATGACAAGGGAGCCTTCAGAATCGAAATCAACTTCCCAGCAGAGTATCCATTCAAACCACCTAAGATCACTTTTAAAACAAAGATTTACCACCCGAACATCGATGAAAAAGGGCAGGTCTGTCTGCCAGTAATTAGTGCTGAAAACTGGAAGCCAGCAACCAAAACTGACCAAGGTAAGCCATGCCCTGGGCTCGTCCCTCAGGGGACCGTCCCAGGGTCTCGGTGTCCCCGGGAAGGGCCCTTTGTCCTCTCTGGGTACGTCAGGAGGCACCCGACTCACTGTGTGATCATCTGGGCAGGTGTTGGTTGGTCAGACTCAAGTCGAACAAGTCCCTGCTGTCACAGAGCGAAGTAGAAAACCACAAATTAGCATCGTCTGTGTTTCTTTTGTTACACATTTCCTAACCACATTTTAATCAGGTTGGGCCACACTGGGAATTTTGTAGCCAACTCATTTGACATGTCTGGAGTAGACCAAAGAAAGTGAAGGGGAATGGAGGAGAAAGGCCCTGGAAGCGATGCAGAGTGTGGGCTGAATTACCCGGGTGCTTGGGACGCTTCTTCCTGCAACAGAGCAGAGGGTGCCCGGGGAGCCCTGGGACACAGAGGTAGATGGCATTAGGCTTCCCTCCGAGATTACCGGAACCCTCTGGTCTATCGCTGTTGCCGTGTTGTGTCCCCCACTAGGCCGGGAGCCCCTCGAGGGCCAGGCTGTCCTTTGCCTCTCTTCATGTCCCTGGCGTTTAGCGCGGTGCCTGGCACAAAGCGGGTGCTTCAGTAAGGCCTGTTGTTGAGGAGGGGGGCATTTGGCATTTGATCACTGAATCACTGAGGAGTCAGACTCCAGGGCAGGCAAACCCCTTTGTCCTTGAACTGGCCCTGCCCCCCAGGGAACAGCGCAGGAGCTGGAGAAGGCCCTCCTAGGTAGGCGGTCTGCTCCATGGATTCACCCAGACACACCTGGATGGAAGGAGGCCTGGACTGGAGGCTGGAGATTTGACTTGGAGTGCTGGCTCTCCTGGTGACTTCATCATGCCAGCCATGCTAGTGCCAGGTCCACTGGTGACTTCGCTGTGGCAGCCACAGTAGCACTGGCTGTCCCGGTGACTTCACTATGCCAGCCACATTAGTGCCAGGTCCACTGGTGACCTCACCGTGACAGCTGCGTTAGTGCTGGCTCTCCCGGTGACTTCAGTGTGGCAGCTGCATTAGCACCAGCTCTCTTGGTGACTTCACCGTGCCAGCTGCATTAGCAACTTTAGCACTGGCTCCTCCAGTGACTTCGCCATGCCAGCCACGTTAGCGCCAAGTCCACTGGTGACTTTGCCGTGCCAGCCGCGTTAGTGATGGCTTCCCCAGTGACTTCGCCGTGCCAGCCACATGGGCCAGTCCCTCACTTTCTGTAGGCTTTAGTTTCTTTAGCTCTGTACTTTAGGTGAACTCTCTACCCTCTCCAGGCCCTTGCAGCTCCAGCACTGCACGGTCTGTGAACTACATGGCCTGGCAATTCAAAGTCACTGAGCCTTCTGTGGACCGAAAGGTTTCATGCTTGCCCTTATGTAGTCCCACGTTCAGGGTCTGAGCTAGAACATTTGCTTAGACTTTTCTTTGGGGCTTGTGTTGTTTGAAGTACAGTTGGGAGTGTTGAGAGCACCCTGTGAGATGAGGGCCAGCAGATTGAGCTCCCTACTGTGGGCGTGAGGCAGCTTGGCTTTGGTTTTCAGAAGCGGCCCGAGCTCTCCCCTCCAGCCTTCTGGCTTGGTGCCCAGGGCATGTGAAGTCAGGGGCCGCAGACTGTCTCCTGCATCTCTTTCACAGGGTGGTCAGTCTGAGCCAAGGCCTGCACATCTCAAAATCCTTCACCCTTTTGTTTAGAAGGGAGTGTCTGAGGGGCATCTGAGTAAATGTCGGGAGACTCCCGTTCAGGGCCAGGCTTTGTTCTTGATCAGCCTTGTGACCTTCTAGTGTTACCAGTCATACAATGACCTGAGACTCTTGGGGCCCTCACCTCCCAAGCGCCCAGTGGAAGATCTCACACATGGGGGAGGAGAGGGCCAGAGAGGGGCCGTGACTTGCTCATGGTTTTCACAGCTAAGCCAGCCTGGTGTCTGAGGCAGGCTGCCCACCTCCCAGTGTGCTCATCTGGAATCCTGCCTTTTTGTGTTGGGGTGGTGCTGGTCGTGAGGGTCCAATGAGATCGTATTTGTAAAACACTTGATGCTGCACTCGGCACGTAGTAGGCACTCTAGAGCTGCCTGTGCTCTTCTTCTTTTCACCCCTGTGCAGGGCCCAGCCTGCCTTCCTCTTCATTCTGGGACTTATTCTCGGGATCTGCTTGGGGCATATTATTTCTTCCTGCTTCTTCCTGTCAAAGGAGGTGGTAGAAACTGGTGAGAAGGGAAAGGTCTCTTCTGGCCCTAGCCTCTGTGAACAAGCTTCATCTTTGGGCAGCAGGGGCTCCAGTCTTGTATGAACCTCAGGCCCCTTAGGCCTCTGCCTCTTGACTCACTGTGGAGCACAGTAAGGCTGCAGATCACAAGATGAAATCTCTTTTGGAGCCTTGTTCTCCTTAGGAATGCAGAGATGTTACAGCTTCAGCCACAGGCCTTACTAAGCTGGCCGTTAGGTGGACAGGGCTCTTGAAAGTCTTTTTTGCTGCCCCGTTTTGGGACAGAGGGAACCTTCCCATCCCCAAGCTTTTGCTGGGGGCACATGGTCTGGGAGGGCCTCCAAGGCTGGAAGGAAATCAGGCCCCAGTTCCATAACAAAGTGGGGACCAGTGATACAAAACCTGGCCCAGCAGTCAGGGAGGCCCTCCCGGTGCTGCTGGCCTTGGCATTGGGCCTTTCTCAGCTGCCGCAGCTGCTGATGAGAGGATGACCTCGGCTTTGGTGCAGGGAGCGAGTGCTGACGAGAGGAAAATCACAAACACCCACCCCGGGCGAAATGTGCTCAGTCTTAGCAGATTCCTAACCTCGACTTGTGTCTGCCTGGCCTTGAGACTTCCTGGCTTATCCCTGCTGATTGATTACTGACAGCTTGGAAAAAAAAAATTAGGGGCATCGTTACTTTGCATTGATGTATTTAGGTTCCTCCCCTCTGCCTCCCATAGGCCTTTGCTTCGCTGACCATTCCCTCTCTACTCTTCATACTGTCATTGGATCATTGACTCCTGGAGCTAAGAGGTCATCTGGTCCAGGGGACCAGGAACCTTTCTTAAAAAAAATATTTGGTAACTATATCTCGCTATCATTGGTTTCCTTTAAGTCTATGAATTTTACTCTATGCTTGCAAAACATTTTGAGAAGGAATCTATAGGCTTCTCCAGACTTCCAGAGAGATCATAACGCAAGAGAGGTTAGGAACCCCCTAATGTAGGCCATTTCCCTGCATGCTGGGGAGCCTGCTTCTACAATATCCCTGACAAGTGGACTGTCCAGCTTTGGCACTTGCTACTTCATAAGGCTTCCAATTCCATGTTTGAACCAATGTAATTATTAATTGAGGGCAACTAGGTGGCACCATGGAGAGAGCGCTGGGCCTCAAGTCAGAAAGATTCATCTTCCTAAGTTCAAATCTGGCCTCAGACACTCACTAGCTGTGTGACCCTGGGCCAGTCACTTCACCCTGTTTGCTTCAGTTTCCTCATCTGTCAAATGAACTGGAGAAGAAAATGGCAAACTGCTCTGGCATCTTTGCCAAGAAAACCTCAAATGGGGTCACGAAAAGTTGGACACAACTGAAAATGACTGAACAACAAATTATCAATTGTATTTGATATAATTATCACTCTACCAGGAAGACAGTGAGAGAAAAATAAAATGGACACTTGGTCACAGCTTTCGTGGAGCCAGCCAGAGGCTTCAGCAGAGCCAGGGGACTCTTCGGTTGAGTCGGAATCTGCCTCCCCTGGATGTTGGCCCAAGGGGCCCAGCTCCCCCCCGCAATACACAGAAAATGGAGGAAGTCGACTGCTCCAAGAAAGTGCTTCTGATCCTTCGGAATAATTAGGACCTTCCCCTGACCCCCACCAGGCTTCTCAAACTCTCTAGGCTAAGTATGCCCACTTCCTTAAAGGAACACTTACTCTCTTTACCCTTGTGCCTGGTGCCCAGCATACCATTGTAAACAGAAAGGACAGCCCTGCCCTAAGGAGCTGCCAGGATGCTGAGGAAGGAGAGACAAATGCAGACAGAGAACTGCTGCTGCTGGGCAGCTCTGAGAAAAGCCGATCTTCGGGGCAGCTTCAGGAGCCAGGCTGAAGGCTACCCGGATGCGACTGTGCGGTTCTGAACAGAGGGTGAAGGCCCCCACGCCCTCTTGATACTTTATGCACTTACTAGTCAGTTAGTCACCTAGCCCTTAGGAAGCAGGTGCCATACTGAGTCTTTGGGATGGAAAGGAGCAAAAACCAGGCCCTCTTCCCCAGGAGCTCACAGTCAGGTCTGGGAAGAGTCCACACCAACAGCTCTGTACAAATGAGAGGCACGCAGCCGGGGGAGCCAGGAGACAGAGGTGAATACTCCACAGATTGAGCGTCAAGGTCAGTTACCAGCAGGAGGCCAGTGCCACTTAATTGTAGGGGACATAGAAGGGATTAAGGTATTCTGATGCCAGGAAAAGTAGGAGGGGGCTAAGTTAGGAAGGGCTTTGCACACCAGCGAGGGTATTTGGTATTTCATCCTGGAGGCAGTAGGTAGCCATGGAGTTTGTGGAGTAGGCACTGACAGGTCACTTTGACAGCTGACTTGAGGATGGCCAGAAGTGGGGTTAGACATGAGGTGTCAGAGGAGAGGAGGAGGCAGATCCAGGAGACATGAAGGGGGAAGTGATAGGACCTAACAACTGAGTGAATGTGGTTATTGAGAGGGGGGAGTTAGGGATGAGCTGGGGGCCTGGAATTAGGGCGGTGCTGTCCAAAGTACAAGGGAAACTGGGAAGAGGGGAGGGTTTGGGGAGAGGAATCAGGAAGTTTGGAGCACTTTAGTTTTAAACATCTACAGGACGTTAACTTGGAGATGAAAGAGTGAAGGCCAGCAAAGGGGTTGGGGCTGGACAAGTGGATTTGAGAGTCAGCAGCATAGGAATGATCATTCAAACCAAGGGAGCTGATGAGGTTTCCAGGTGCAGTAGGACAGACTGGAAAGAGCAGAGAGCCCAGGACAGAGGCCTG